ACGATGCAGGCAGATCCAGAAAACCTAATCACAGAGACGAGGGTTACTCCAAAGCAAGGCTGGAAAACAACAGAATTCTACAGAGCCGGGCAATACTAACTGGAGTTACTCAATATGCATTTATTGCTTTTACTTTAGACTACAGTAATTTGTTATTATCAGGATGTCCTAAAAACTCCCTGAAAAGCCTTCAGTTAATCCAAAATGCTCCAGCAAGAGTACTGACAGGGACTAGAAAGGGAGAGCATATTTCTTCTATGTTGACTTCCCTTCATTGGCACTATGTTAAATTCAGTATTGAAGTCAAAATCCTGCTTGTCACATACAAGGTTTTAAATAATTAGGCCCCATCCTATCTCTGCTACACTCTGACCATGAAACCATAGCCACTGTGCACCAGTCACACTGTTCTTTACTTTAAATCCATCACAGTACAGTAAACTAACCTGTTTATCCTGCACTAAACTCCAGAGTATTCTTATGCAGCCTTTACATAGCAGTTAGTCTACCTCATTTTGTTTTGCAGCATATTTCACAATATGAAAGAACATAATGTCACATGTACAAATGTACACTCCACCTCTGAGCGAAGTTAGCTCTGAAGCTGGATCTTTAGCTAGCAACACACTCTTTGACAAACTGCACACAGTTTGTGTGTTTGCTGATGTTTGTTGAACAGATAGAAACAATTTATTTAAACTAACCTGCCACTTAAAAAAAAGTCACTCCCTTTATGCTCTCTTCTCTTCAGTAGGGCGAGCTAGTTGCCAAGGTACCGCAACCACAACTTATGGAAACTTGCAGTCATTCCAGTGTTGTGTCAGTAAATAAACAAAAAAACAAAACAAAAACAAAACACTGTCCCACTTTTAACCCCTTTGGCACATGTAATCTCTTTTTATGCATCATCCTGGTGATTAATAAATAAACAAGAATCCCTTTCCTGTGTTACTGTTTGAGCTTACATGGGTTTGATGTCTCGTCACAGTGACGAAATAATAATTCAACCCAAATGCATTTAACCAGAAGTAATGAGCCTGTTTTGAAAATGTAAGAAGTAGAAAGTACAGATATTTGTTTAAAAATGTAGGGAGTAAAAGTAAAAAGTACACAAAAAATAACTACTCAAGGAAAGTAAAGATACCTAAAAATTGTACTTAAGTACAGTAACAAGGTATTTGTACTTTGTTACTGTCCACATCTAGATACAGAGGTGGGAAGAAAAACTGAACAGAAAGAGGGGCCAAAGCAAACAAACAAAAATATATTTTAGGTTATGGACACATCAAATTAATTAAATCAATGTAATCAGAGTTTGTTGATTACATTGAACTTTGTTCTCAGGCTTTTGGGCTCTGTGGGCTTGAAATAATGTAACAACTTGGAATTCGATTTGCATTTTCTTGATTCAGAGTTCTTAGACAGCTTAGATAGGATCAGACCCTCAAACCACTGAAGAAAATAACAAAGCAAGCAACAGAATTAGTCTGTTCAAAAGGCTGAATGATTATCACGTCAAAGGCTGGTGATTTCTCAATAGCTTTTTCACTGTCTGTATGAAAGGGGGACATTATCATGTGTAGTGAATAGGAGCATGAGGACCCAAATGCAGACACACAGATGTGGATTGTGGTAAACAAAAGGAAAAATGTTTAATTAGGCTGATGAGCAAAATACATTATAGTGAAAAGTAAAGTACCTGAGGAAATTAGAAACACTAATATAGTATATAAACTAGGGCAAGAAAACACTGGAACTACAAATGAAAGGTGACTGACATTCTGACAATAGACAAAGGGAGACTGACACAATATATATAAACAGGAGGGTGATTAATTGAGTGTTGAAGTACGCATTTCAAGTGCGGTTACGTCACCGCCACGCGACGACGGCTGTCCCAATTCGAAGTGTACTTCAGATGCATACTCCAAATGCGCCGTCGATTTCCCCAAAGATCAAGCGTGGTCCGTTTTTTTTTTTCCAAACTTTATTGAACTTATAAAGCGAACAGTCAGTCATTCCAGTTCAGTTTGTACAGTAGACATACAAGGCAAATAGGTATACGCTTCGTCGCGCTGTTCAGGTTGCCTAGCAACCATGATACTAACCGCGAGACACGTTACATACAGCTTTGTTTGACAGAAATGAAGGAGAAAAATGTTTTGTTGTCATTCATTTTTGTCATGACATCACTTTGATTAGTTGAGTATCTGAGGCTGAGACCACGGGACTGTAAAACATGATTGTTGGGCTTCATTTCTGTGCTGAACAGTCATTTAAGATTAGTTAGTAAATAACAATTAGTAATCATGAGACTAAAGTATATATATAAAAATATATAAATAGATATATATATAAATGCAATAATAATATATTTAATATATTATCAGATAATCATAATATATCAAATATCATAAATATCATATTATTACATATATATCATATATTATATATATACAATATATACAATATCAAATATCATATATATAATTCAATACTAAATATCACTATATAACTCTCC